AGTGGAGCCATTTCAGAGGAGATTTAAGGTCAAACCAAAATGATGAATTACATTGGTTGAGTAAATAAAGAGAACCCAGTGTAATAATATATCAGTGACCATTCAACACAAAATCAAAGTGATTGGTGAGAGAAAACAGGGAGATGTCGAAACAGTTTTTCACAGAGTGAGGGCTGGACTTTGCAGGGTGCCGTGGTCCTGCTTTTCCTCACGTCATCTGAAAATATTCTATCAACCTGGCCCTGTACATTTGGACCTGGGACTGAAGGTGGCACCTGAAGGTGTAAACTGCAGGACTGGTCAGCTGGGCAGAGCTTGGCCAATAGCACTCAGCACGGCAAAATGTGAGGTAATGTACTTGGGAAGGGCTAACAAGATAGGGGATCACACTATGAATGGAAAGTACTAAAAATCAGAGGGACATTGGTGTACAGACCCACACATCCCCAATGGCAGTAGGAGAGACGGATAAGGTGGTTAGGAAGACATATAGAATACTTGCCTTTATCAGGCAAAGCATAGAATACAAGAGTACAGGAGGTTATGCTGGAACTGTATAACATGCTGACTCGGAGTCCTGTGTGCAGATCTGGTCACTGTATTTATAGGAGGGATATGATAGCACTGGCGAGGGTACAGAGGAGATTTACCTGGATGCTGTCTGCACTGGAGGGTCTGAGATATGGGGAAAAGCTGGTGTGATTTTCTTTAGAGCAGCATAGTTTGAGAAGGGACCTGATGGAGATCTGTAAGATTATGAGGAGTACATACACGGTGGATAGGAGGGTTAGTAATAGAGGGGTCAATAACCTGGGGACATTAGTTTAAGGAAAGAGTTAGAAGGCTAAAAGGGAAGATGAGGAGATATATTTTTCACCCAGAAGGTGGTAGAAGTCCGGAACTCATTACCTGAAAGGGTGGTTGAGTCAGAAGCTCTTATAAGATTTAAGCAGTGTTTAGCTATTCATGTGCATTGCCATAGTCTCCAAGACTCTGAGTCAAAAGCTGGAAAATGGGATTAGTGTGTTAGCTGGCTGGCATGGACACAGTGGGCAGAATGACCTCCGTCTGTGCTGTACATGTCTAAGAGTCTATTTCTGCATCTTTGGTGTTTCTTCTTTGATTCAATTTTCCAGGAAATCCCTGTTGGAATGAAATGATTTTTTCCTGACATTCCGCCCGCCTGACCCCTGCACAAAACTTTGACCCAAAGTGCGACTCCCTCCCGTCCCCCCGTCACACAAACAGCATCAGCCCCTCTTGTCGTTTCCTCCCCATCCCCCTTCCTTGTACTGCAGCTAAATTCCTAGAGACTAGTTCTTCTGCAATAATAACACTCAGCAGTTTGTGTTTGCTGTGGAAAACATTTGACCTGCAGCACAGGGTGAGGTCAGTCTGAAATGCTCAGTTATTTTCCGAGATTTCGGATAAACTAACTTGGCTGAGGCTGAGCGCTTGGTATTCCAAAGGACATGAAGCAATGATAAGCAAAATGCAATAAATCTGCGGATGGAATTTTTTTTGATTTCGTCTTAGATTTAAACGCAGGGAGGACTACTCTCGTTACAACACCCTTTCTGAACATGAAAAATGTAAATGAACTGGCACCGAGCTGCACCAGTGCTGGACACCACCAAGATTGAAAGCAAATGGATCAGCTGGATCGGGAAGGAGTGGGCATAGTAACAGCAACACAGTCTGGGTTTCAGCCAAAAGATAAAGGAGCAGAATTAGGCCATTCAGCCTATCGAGTCTGCTCTGCCATTTGATCATGCCTGATATGTTTCTGAGCCCCATCTCCTGCCTTTCCCCTGTAACCTTTGATCCCCTTACTAGTCCAGAGCCTACCTAGCTCTGCCTTTAGCACACTCAATGACTTGACCTCTATAGCCTTCTGCAGCAATGAGTTCCACAGATTCACCAGCCTCTGGCAGAAGAAATTCCTCCTCATCTCAGTTCTAAAGGGTCGTCCCTTCACTATGAGGCTGTGCCCTCAGGTTCTAGCTTCTCCTGCTCATGGAAACTACTTCTCTGTTTTCACCCTATCCACGCCTCTCAGCGTTCTGTAAATTTCAGTCAGTTCCCCCCTCATGCTTCTAAACTCCATCAAGTACACATTCAGAGTTCTCAACCACTCCTCATATGATGAGCCCTTCATTCTTGAGATCATTCTTGTAAACCTCCTCTCAACCCCCTCCAACACCAGCACATCCTTCCTTAGATACAGGGCCCAAAACTGCTGACAATATTCCAGCTTTGTTCTGACCAGAGCCTTATTAAGCCTCAGCAGTACATTCCTGCTCTTGTCCTCTCGCAATGAATGCTAACATTGCATTTGCCTTCCTAATTGCCAACTGAACCTGCATGTTAGCCTTAATACAATCCTGAACTAGGACTCCTAAGTCCCTTTGTGCTTCAGATTTCTGAAGCCTTTCCCCATTTAGAAAATAGTCCATGGTTCTATTCTTCTTACCAAAGTGCATGACCTCACACTTTCCCACATTGCATTCCATCTGCCATTTCTTTGCCCACTCTCCTAACCTGTCCAAGCCATTCTGCAGCCTCCCACCTCCTCAACATAACCTTTCCCCTCACCTATCTTTGTGTCATCTGCAAACTTAGCAACAATTCCCTCAGTTCCTTTGTCCAGATTGTAAATGTATAACATGCATAGGTTGTGGTCCCAACACTGACCCCTGTGGAACTCCACTAGTCACTGGTTGCCATTTTGAAAAAGACCCCTGTATCCCCACTTTCTGCCTTCTACCAATCAGCCAATCCTCTCTCCACACCAGTACCTTGCCCCTAACACCATGGGCTATTATCTTATTTAGCAGCTTCCTGTGTGGCACCTTGTCAAAGGCCTTCTGGATTTTCAAATTGATCACATCCAGTGGCTCTCCTTTGTCTAACTTGCGTGTTACCTCCTCAAAGATTTGTCAGGTATGTCCTCCTCTTGACAAAACTGTGCTGACTCAGCCCTATTTTACAGTGCACTTCCAAGTATGTTGCAATCTGATCCTTAATAGCGACTCTAAAATCTTACCAACAATTGAGTTGTGGCCAATAGTTTTCTGTCTTCTGCCTCTCACCCTTCTTAAACAGGGGTGTTACATTAGCCATTTTCCAGTCCTCTGGGATACTCCCTGACTCCAGTGATTCCTAAATGATCACCATCGATGCCTCTACAATCTCCTTCAGAAGTCTGGGGCATAGTCCATCTGATCCAGGTGATTTATCCACCATCAGACCTTTCAGCTTCTCAGCATCTTCTCCTTAGTGATGGCCACTACACTCACCTCTGCACCACCGCCCCCCCCCCCCCCCCCTCACCGAATCTCTTGAAGTTCTGCTATGCTGCTGGTGTCTTCCACTGAGAAAACTGATGTAAAGTACCTATTCAGAACCTCAGCTGTTTCTTTGTTCCCCATTACAATTTCTCAAGCCTCATTCTCCAGTGGTCCAATGTCCACTCTTGCTGCTTTCTTACCTTTCATATATCTTCAAAAAAAAACCTCTTGCAAACTAATTAGCTTGTTTACCTTCACATTTCATCTTCTCCCTACATCGCTTTTTCAGTTATCTGTTGTTGGTGTTTAAAGGCTTCCCAAACCTCTGGCTTCCCACTAATTTTCTCCAACTTGTTTGCTCTTTCTTTTGCTTTTATGGTGTCCCTAAGGTCCCTTTTCAGTCATGATTGCTTTGTCCTCTCCTTAATATATAGCCAATCCCACCATCCTGTCACAGCCGCCTCTTTTCTGACTCTTCTTAAAGCATTCCTCTTTGACTCAGCTTTTGGTTACTGCCAATGCCTCCTTCTTGGACTTAGTCTCATTTTAGATTTTACTTGATCCCACAAAAATCATAGTCGTTTATTTATAAGGACCCCATCCATTACAGGGTCTGTTTTTTAATTTAATATTACAATCGGCTCCTACATGTTAAACAGCCGTGGAGGGAGGGGCTGATTTCTGTCTGAGTTTATCTGATTTCTCAGATATGAGCAGTCAGCAGTTTAATGTTTTTTGCTGTCCTTTTAGAGAAATGAAATCATTACCAGCTGCTTTCAACAGCTTCATTCAGGAAAACAGCTTTTTCTTCCCACTTTCTTTCATGGAGCCTCTGAATGACCGTTGTTTTGTCGGAGCTGGGATGGGACCCTGCAAACAAAATCCACAGATTTACCAAGTAAATGTGATGCTGACAGAAACAGATAGAGACCATTCAGCCCTTCCTTCAACCCATTCTGTTCAATTATTTTTGACATTTACCTTGTCTCTATTTACCAGAGAACGTTGGAGAAACTCTGTAGGTCTGGCCGTGGCTGTGGAGACAGAAAAACAGAGCTAATGTTTCGAGCCCAGTTTGATGTCTTCCCCAGAGGATGGTGGAGCCAACGTCAATGAATAGTTAAGGCAGAGCTAGATAGCACTTTGCCTGATATGTGTGTCACCAGGAATGGGGGTCAGTGAAAATGTGGAGCTGAGACCACATTCGGATCAGTCAAAATCTCATTGAATGGTGAAGCAGGCTTGAGGGGCTGAATGGTCTTCTCTTGCTTCTCATTCGTATGTTACCCATTGGCACCTTTCACGTCCCACCAGAGAAAACCATCAGGGTTTAAAGTCCTATCCAAAAGGCAACACCCCTAACTCTCTTAATAACTGCACTCCAGTGACAACATGTTCGTATTCCCAGAGGGAGGTGTGGAACCTGAGAGGGACAGGAAATATGTCTTGAATATTGGAAATCATTTCTATTATGAAACAGTCATGTTTTTGGATAGTGTTAAGCCAAATCAAACTAGAATTCAGTTCCGGTGTTTTTATGTCCGCAGTTCACAATGTTTAATAACAGCTGTGAAACCTCAGCTGCAGGGAAAGGGTTTTAGTGAATTATTGGACAGATTTGCTCACTCGATATTTTGATTTATGGCAATAGTTACTGCACAGCATTATTCCAGACACATGACTTCTTCAACTGTTCACCTTCTGCCATAGACTAGGGAGTGAAGACAAACATTTTGAGGTGGAAATGGCCAAAGCTGGATGTGAAGTTCACTATTTTGATCCAAGTCTCAACGAGGCCCACGTTCAGAAGAGTGAAGGTTACTGGCACCATCGTATGGCAATCGACTGGAGAGACCCCAACCCAGCTGTCATCGCCCAGAAACAGCACAGAGCTACCAAAAGGTTGGCCACTATAATGAGCGAATTTGGTCACAGGAAGGTGAGTTTTACAGTTCACTGAATGGGAGAAAGCTCCTTTCCTTGTTTTATTGATCATTCTTAGGCCGCCTCTGTGTTACAAATAGATTCCATTTCTGAATACATTCATAAGTTAAAGCGTACGCACGTCCAATACAAAATAGCTCTTTGTAAGTATGAGAAAACATTTGCATATTGGATCCTTAGAACTAATATTAATATGGGATCTTGCTCGTAACTATGAGTGTTCCTAAGTCGGCTGTTCCTAAGACAGGGACCCCTCCTCCGCCCCAGTATATCTATTTATTTTTAGTTGCAAAATTGTGACTAAAACCGGGGCCAGAATCTTCTGCTCCCTCTCAGGTGGCAGGTTTGGGAGTAGGAAGGGAATGTCGTTAGGCAGGGTCTGAAGAAGAGTCATCAGATTTGAAACATTAACTCGGTTTCTTTCTCCACAATGGTACCAGACCCTTGGAGTTTCTCCTGCACTTTCTAGTTTTAATGTCAGATTTGCGACTTCTGCTGTAATTTGTTTGTATTGGTTAGGCAGAGACGTGGCCTACCCAAACCCTGCACCTTCTGTCCTCCACCAGGATGAAGATCTGGTCAGGAAGGTAATGGAGGCCTATATGTGGCCAATTCAAGCCTGAGTGAAGATAGGCCCCTACTATCACTGTCAATGCTGTAAATATAATGAAAGCTAATAAGAGAAGTGGGGAAGGGCTGTTCTATTCAAACAGAAGAGTGAAGGTTACTGGCACCATCGCATGGCAATCGACTGGAGAGACCCCAACCCAACTGTCATCGCCCAGAAACAGCACAGAACTATCAAAAATTGGCACCAGGATGGAGGCTGTATTAAAACATGGAAATATTCTGGGGCCAATCCCTAATGACCTTGGCCATTTTAACCCCAGGGCTTGTTTGAATGTCACTGTTTTCTTTTTGTTCTTTCCCAGGGCGTGGGCATTACTGCCTTAGCGAGCATTTGTTGCTCATTATTAATTGCCCTTGAACTGAGTGGCTTTCCAAGACTATTTCAGAGGGCAGTTAACAATCAACTATGTTGCTGTGGGTCTGGAGTCACATAGAATCCAGACTGGGTAAGGGCAGGGGATTACCCTCCTAAAGGGCATTGACAATTAATTTTTAATGACCAGTTTTCATAGCCGCAATCTTTCAATTCCAGATTTGATTGAATTTAAACTCCAATGATTTCCTGAGGTTGGATTTGCACCCATGCCGCTAAGCATTAGCCACGGGCTTCTGGATTACCAGTGACATTACCACTACATCATCATTTTCTCCTTAGTTGTGACAGTTTTTGTTGTAAAAACCCATCTGGTTCAGTAATATCCTTTAGGGAAGGAAATCTACTGGTCCAGCCTACATGTAACTCCAGGCCCACAGCAATGTGGTTGACTCTTAACTGTCCCTTCAAATGGCCTAGCAAGCCTGTAGTGAGTGGACAATCCTATGAGGATATATCAGACTAGGCTTGTTGCCATTGGAGTTTAGAAGAGTGAGATGTTATTTGACTAAAGTGTATTAGATTCTGACTGAACTTAATAAAGTGGAGGTGGAAAGAATCTTGTGTGTGAATCTAGAACTAGGGGGCGCTGGTTTAAAATTAGAGGCCACCCTTTTTGACAGGAGAGTTAGTTTCTATCAGGGAGTGGTGTGACTCTGGAACTCACTGTCTCAGAACATGGCAGAGGTGGGGCCATTGAATATTATTTTTAGAGAAAGATTCTTGTTAGGCAGGGGAATTGAAGATAACGTGGATTTCAAAATGAATAAGCCACGATCTTATTGAAGGGCAGAGCAGGCTCAAGGGGCTGAATGGCCTACTTCAATTCTTATTTCGTATGTTCTTAGTTCAAGAGTAATTCAGGGCGTGTAACAAACGTTGACATTGTCAGCAACACCCAGGCTCAATGTGAGAATAGATTGAAAAAGAAATTGGAAATTTTGAAAGATCAGAGTATTTTGAGAGAAAATAGCAGTGTTACTGTTATATTAATATCTGCCTGGAGATATCAAACGTTCTCACAGCTTTGGTTCCTGCACTGATTGCAAACAGACACGGTATTATTTTGATTAAGAGGCCAACACATGATTTGGCTGGTGATATGTCCTTAGGCTCTAGCTGGTTGTATTTGGAAACAGATGGGTTTGATTTGGGGGGAAGACATTTTCATGAGATCAGAGAAAGTGAATGTCAGTTATGTCGCCTGATCAAGCACAGTCCCTGTGGAGGAACATGGTCAGAAACACCGGGTAAATGGTGTCAACACTGTTTACTTATTTCCTCTGGGCTCACAGTGGAAGATTCCACTGTGCAGCGGGCCGACTCCTGGTAGTCAGGCGAAATATCCTGGTTTTAGTGAGTACCTTTAAGGGAATGAAAGTCTTACCGTTTCAAAGTGTTGACAACCCAGGCCAAGTATGGCACAGCCTGGTGCAGAGCAAAGCCATCGCTGTTGTGGAAAAGTGTCCCTCGCTGAACCATTTTCTCCATTCCCTGCACCAACATTCCTGTGATTTGCAATTAGTGCTGGAGCAGAGACAGTTTCATACTCTGGGTCTCTGCCCATGAACACTGCATTTGGGACCTTGCAATCTCATGTGACATAGGAGCCCATATGGTTAGTAGACAGAGGAGACTTCTGCCTCAGTTGTATGGACTGATGTTGACATCTGAAATAAAGAATAATTAACTCATTACACTGCCCCATTCCCTAGATGTCAATTCATCACAAAAGTACTATTGGTTTTTATTGTTAAGATTTCCACAATAAAAAAGTATAATATCTTTTCTTACTAACATCTGTGCAGAGGACAGCTGTGATCACACATGACCTTTGAAGCTTTCAGCCAAGAAATGTTATTGCCATACACAAACTCCCTGTGCTTGTAATATCCTGTGAAGATGTCACTCCGTATTTACAGCATGTTGTTTTTCCGATACTAAAGAATGTTAGTGTTTGGTAAACTCTTATAGGAAGGTTTCTGAATACTGATTGCAAACAATGTAACAAGCTCAAGCTTTGAGTTCCTGGGGATCATATTGAAACATGAATGATCATGTCCATTAAAGCAGTGGAATTAAAGAAATCGGTGTTGCCAGCAAGGCAAATGTTTCATCCCTAAGTACCCTTGAACTGAGTGGCACACTGTGCTATTTTGTACAGCTGTGGGTCTGGAGTCATACATAGAGGTCTACAGCATAGGAAAAGACCATTTGGCCCATCGAGTCTATACCAGTTTAAACCACTACCTAACTATTGTAATGCCACTTTCCAGCACTTGACCCAGAGCCTTGTAGGTCTTGGCATCACAAGTGGCGATGACTCAAAGAGTCTGCAGAGGGATTTAGACAGGTTAAGTGAGTGGGTAAAAACGTGCCATATAGAATATAACATGGGAAATGTGAGATTATGCACTTTGGCAGGAAGAATAGAGCAGCTGAATATTATTCAAATGTAAAAAGACTGCAGAAAGCTACAGAACAAAGAGATGCGGGAGTCATCATCCACGAATTATAAAAAGCTGGTATCCAAGTCCAGCAGGTAACAGGGAAGGCAAATGGAATGTTCGCCTTTATTTCAAAGGGAATGGAGTATAGAAGTAGGAGGGTTTGCTAAAACTCGGTCTAACCAGGGAAAGTGGCACATTGCCTTCCCTCAAGGACATTGATAAACCTTAAAAATCAATAATAGCTCTATTGTTAAGCGTCTACCCAAATAATCTTCATCACCTTTTCTTCCTAGTCTTTCACTGTTCTTCTTCTGTTACTCTCATCCTCTTCTTTTCGTCCTCGTGTTCTGCTTGTTTAGCTGTCTTTCTTTTCCTTGATTCTGTTCTGAGACCATGATGACAGCTGAATCAAACACTTTGAACTTCGAATTGTCTATTTCTCTATGTTGCTGAGACCAGAAAGGTAGTGGCAGTGCTACAGTGCTGAAAGGAACAAAAACTAAAACCTGCATTTCAGTAGCGCCATTCATAATCTCAGCATGTTCAAAGTGCTTTATAGGCACTTACCTATTTCTGAAGTGTAGTCCCTTTTTTTATTTCAAAAATATACCCTATTCTTAAAAAAATATAGATATATGTAGTCACGAAAGCAGTTTGGTTCTGTACAGTGGCATATGAAGAAAATAAACAAATATTGGAGATGGACTCTATCCAACAAACAAACCCAAGGCGTTTCTTACTTATGCAAGATTATATTTACATATATTTGAGGCACCAGGAGGCTCCAATAATTGAACAGACCCCCATTTACCTCCAGCAGAAGGACAGTGGTCTTTCCCCACTGTGCCTTGGTGGGCAGCTGCCCCAAGCTTTAGTGTGTCCCTCAGCATGTAGTCCTGGGCCTTGGACTGTGCCAGTCTGTAACACTCAGTCAGGGTCAACTCCTTGTTCTGGAAGACCAACAAGTTTCAGGCGGACCAAAGAGCATCTTTCAGCAAATTGATGGTCGTCCACACACCTCCAGTCGACGCTTGCCTTGTTGTGTGTCCCGGGGAACAGACCGTAGAGCATAGAGTCCTGTGTCACAGAACTGCTTGGGATGAACCTCGACACAAAGTAATGCATCTCTCTCCAGACTATTTCTGAAGTGCAGTCACTGTTGTAGAAACCTGATCACTAGTGTGTGAGCAGCAACCTCTCACTAAAAGCAACACAGTGACGACCAGAAAATCTAGTTTTGTGATGTTGGGTGCTGAATGAATATTAGTCAGGCTGCTTGGGGTGACTCCACTGTTGTTTTTCAGAATAGATCCTTCAACTATTATCCACAGGAGAGGGCAACACTTCAAGTAAAAACACCTCCAACAGGCAGCATCTCCTGAGTATTATGGAATGTTAGTATAGATTTTCTGCTCGAGTGTCAAACCTTCAATCTGAGGAGTGAGATGTCACAAGCAGAGCCACTGCTTGTTAAACAACTCTCTCAAAGTTTCAAAGAGCAGGTGTAATGGGCTCCATGAGCTCGTAATCCAGAGGCTGCTC